AAAAAAGTAAATTATAAAAAAGTACAAATAAAAAGATAAATAAAAAATCTAAAAACAATTAAATTGATTAAAAGATAATTAAATATATAAAACAAATTAAAATAAGAAGAAATAATTGAATAAAAAAATAAAAAGTAATAAAATAAAGAAAAATTGAAACTAACCCCGTCACCCTGCCATCTGGTTGCCATTCACAATTGATGGGGGGGTCGTATTTGGAACCTGGCCTTGGGGCGGCAAGGAGAGTAAATCCGGCCCTGGGCATTGGTTACCTGACTAAGGGTTATGTCAATGGGCTTTTGTTCACTTTAGAACTGCTCTTCTTCCAATATAAGTCAATGTGATGCAAAAAAAGCATGAAAAAGGTAGATGCAGTCAGTGCAAGTCAGAAGGCGGTCAACGGTAGCTCAAATTTACCTGCCAAAGAACTTTGAATGATTTCAGAAGCCTCTTAAATTGATATCAAATCCAAGTGGAATGCACCTGGAAGCACACTGAATTTACCCATCAACACAAGACCTAAGGCTAGCCATAGACATGAGATGGCTGTTGAGCCAAAATATATTTCCTAGAAAGATCTTTCCATAAACCTGCACAGTGGTTTCTAAAGGCACACCTTAGTTTATTGCTTTCAGGGTGGAAACTAAAAATCAAAAATGTTTTTGGTTTCTGAATGATGGCAAATGTTTCCCATAATAAGGCCTCAACTAAGTATGTTTGTACAGTGTAGAAATATACATTTTCATCCACAAACATGGTGCACATTTATAGAGGGATCTTCCAAATGAAAGATCCTTTTGTAATTGCTTATGCAGGTTGTTCTGTCTATTGTGCTGTGTAACATATTGCTAACATGTTATAGAGGTTATTGCCTTCCATCTATTGTGTTGTGCAACATACCACTATCAGTGTATGAAGGTTATTACCGTTCATCTATTGTGCTGTGTAATATATCACTACATTTTTATGCAGATTATTACCTTTCATCTATAGTGCTGCGTAACATATAACTTCCTTCTTATGCAGGTTATTACCTCCCATCTATTGTGCCTTGTTATGCGGGGTATTGCCTTTCATCTATTTTACCAACACTGGGGGTTCTAGAGTGAACCCCAGACTTGTTCTGCCAAACCAATCACATGTATAAACACCAAAAAAGCTTGCGTAAAAGAAATCTTATGCTCACATATCCATATCTGCAGGCAAATCCATAGACCCAACTGGGATTCTGGCTAAGTGCGTTTCCAATATCATCTGCACCATAGTCTTTGGAGACCGATTTGAATATGATGACAAAGACTACAGTATTCTGTTAAGTATTCTTAATGCCATGTCAAGGGATTTAAGCAGCACTTTTGGGCAGGTATGTGGATTACAAATGTCAGTTTTCAAAAGCATTCCATTGGCAGCTGACTATAAAAATGTGAAAATTAAAAACTCACTTAGCTATGATTTAGGTTGTTTAAGGCAGAAGTGCTTCAAAGGTTGCTTTGTCTACTTATGCTTGCTGATTGAAGAATTTTCAGAGGATTTTGGATTGCCGGTGACATTATCCATTTACAAGGGTTGCAATAAAGTAACTTTATTTTGTTGATAAAGTGGAAAGGGGCAATGTTCAATAATATTTGCAACAGTAGAACAGAGAAACAGGTTACCAAATAATTCTCTCCAGTATACCAGTTATTATTTAGAGCAATACCCATATGTGGTACACCCTGTGCTTCTGTCCTGCTGCTGTTTTCCCCCTCTCACTTGTAGACAATTCCAGTCTGTCAAACTGATATTGATGATGATGATGATGAATGATGACGATATTGCTGTGTAAATACAATAGCTGTCGTAACTACTGTGAAAAATTGACTATCTGGCAGAGTTCTAATTGACACTTTCAGATGTGAGGTAGAGAGATACAAAGTAACATTGTTACTTTTGTATTTACTCTGTTTAATTAATTTGCGGATCAAAGGGATGAGCTATGATTTGCATATAACAGCACTTATATTTTCCTACTTATTTTTTTATCTATATTTCTTTGACCATAATTATTTACTTTTTTGGCTTTATTCATTTGGCGCATTCCTTTTTTTAGTGTCAAATTAATAAAAGTATAAAACTAAAAGAACAGAAAAAGAAGAAAAAAAGCCATATTTAATTTGTAAATACCTTTGCAATGCTTTGTACAAGAATCATAACTTTAGTGTGATTTTAAATGGGACAAATTATAGAATAAAATTATTTTTGAACTAACGCTGATCATAGGAGAAAAAAATTAGTTTTTTGTTTATGGATTGCATGAAAAGTACAATTATTTTTGCAAGATATCTTTACCAAACGAAAGCCTTGTTTGTTAAAAAAAAGATAAACGTGTTACTTTGTTACCTTGATGAAAAAATTATTCTCGAATCAATAGGTTCATATCATAAATGTAAAAATTCCTCTGGTCCATACGAGGTGACCAGGTGTGAGACCTGAAGTAGTTAAAAGAGAACTACGGGATAACCTTTTTATCCGATAGTTCTCTTTAGGGTCAGGGGAGGACATATACCAACGTCCTCCCGTGACACAAAGCTCGGATATAGCAAGCTATTGGTAGCTGCAGCCGGGACGGACCCCAACAATACTGTTGAGATCCACCCAGCTGGCTGATTGACAGCCGGCTCTGCCTATCTACAGGCAGAGCCAGCTGTGCCCGCTCCCTCCACATCGGTTCCTCCAGTCAGCACTAGAGGATAGGAGAGGGGATGGGATGAATCCCTGCAGTGAGCTGTGGATGACAGTCACTGCTCTCTGCAAGGAGATGATTGGTAAATGAGCGAGCGACGGTATGTGTTGATCTAGAGAGTCGATGTGTGACAGTTTCATTGTCACACATTGGCTCTAACTATGAGTATGAGTGTAAATCACTTACCTCAGCGTTCTCCTTTAAGCATCATATTACGTACTTAAACATAATACAACTTCCTCAATCTCAAAACATTTTTTTTTGTTTGTTGCTAGGGAATGATTAAAAACGCTGTCAGATTTTTTTTCTTTACCATCTGTGTCCTATTGGAGACATATCCCTTCACTTCCTCGCCTGCTATTAGTTTAAACTAAGAAATGGTGATAGAAGAACTGGAAACTGTACCTTTCTTGTAGGAATAGGTTCATTCCATGTTGGTCACATGACCAAATGCCAGAACGTTGGTCATCTAATTCTTGCAGGGTTAGTATTAATCCTTAAGTCCCTGTTCACACCTCGGTGTACCATGCGCATTGCGTTAACGTGTGTTCGCGGGCTTTTTTCCCATGCTTCCCACACGTTGCCTATTAATTTCAATAGGTGCCGCATGCATGAAAAACACTGGAAAATAGCTCATGCAGCATTTTCAGCTGTGAGTGTCCTGGGTTTTTTTCAACATAAAAATACATGTTTTCCTGGCTACATTTGGGGTGCCATTAACAAGTAAAAGCAAGGCAAGCGTGTTACCCTTTATTGCTGCACACTTCTTGTACACTTGTAGCGCGTGTTTACAGAGCATGAAGGTGTGAACAGGAGATTTAAGTGAAACTCCTGGTTCATTTTTCCCTCACTCCTTCTGTGTGCCATGCTTCCCTTATCTCAATAGTCCAGCACTGTACTTGACATCCTGCTCGGTCCAGTGCTGGAGGTCCTCTTAAGAGCAGAATGACACTCTGTTATTCTACCTATTCTTGTAATGCCAGCCTGCCATTTACATGCCTTCCCCCAGGGGGACATCATCATTTAGGCTAGACTCCAGGATTAGGTGGCACTCAAACGTCATGATCACCACACCTATCCCCCACCCCACCCCACCAACGCTGCTGGAAAAATAGGACCCTTCTGTTACATGGAAATATTCTGGGGGGTGGAGAGAGACAGGTGACTGGGGGAATCCAATATCTCTAGAGTTGTGCCTTAGGAAGCTGCTTCTTTAGAGATCACATGACCAATGTTCGGGCATTGTGTCTCATGACCACAAACATCAGAGGCAGATTGAAGTTGCAGGAAAGGAATTTCAGTCCTGCCCCATGACATGTCTTACTGGTTGATGGGACAGAGTCTGCATTTGTGCATAATGCTTTTATAGAACATGTGTTTGTGTCCCTCCTTAGCTGCAGGCTATTGTCCCCGGGATCATGAAGTATATTCCAGGACCTCATAAACGGATAAACCAACATATGGCCCACATGCTGGACTTTGTCACACAAAGAGTGGAGAAGAACAAAGAGACCCTGGATCAAGACTCACCCAGAGATTTCATTGACTGCTGCCTCATCAAACACCAGCAGGTATCACCAATATTTTTTTTTGCCAGGTCACAGAGAAGTGATAAGCAGAAACAATAAAACATATGTGTTTTTGAAGTTAGTTGTTCATTAAGTGGTGGATGGCCATGCTCACAATACCTCTGCTAAACTACACACATGAATACAAAATGTGGACTAAATTACTTAGCAAAGATACCCTACCTTGTAGCATCTTGCATGTATATGCTCAAACTTTTAGAGGGTTATTCACAAAGCTGCCGAAGGCAACTATGTGAATAACCAACCCAAAGTGAAGTGAGCCGAATGCTGTTAGGCTATTCACTTCAGGCCGTACACCGACTGAAATCAGCCGTACATCGGCTTGCTGCGGCTGGCTTCGGGTCGGCCGAACATGCTCAGCATGTTTGACCGACCCGACATGCAGAAGGAGTTCGACTCAGCCCGTCCAACATCTGGATCGGCTGAGCCAAACCTCCGGCAGGCTACTCGCTGCTGTTCGGCCTATTCTCAGTGAGTGAATAGCCGAATGCCGCCGAGCAGAATAGAAAACCAGTTAAAAAAGTAGAAAAAAAATAGAAAACGATTGGGCGGAGCTAGCAGTGACAGCTAGCTCCTCCCAACTGTTTTCTATTGGCCGGGACCCGCTGTCATTACAATGAGAGCTTAGCGGAGCCGGCAGTGATATCAAAGCCGGCTCCACTAAGCTCTCATTGTAATGACAGATTAGCTCTCATGACAGTTCAGCGTCCCCTGGTCACTGGGTAACCAGGGGACGCTGAACTGTCATTACACACTGAGAACTCGGCAGAGCCGCCGTGATAACACAGCGGCTCTGCCGAGTTAGTGTAATTACAGATCAGCGTCCCTGGTTACCCGGAAACCAGGGATGCTGATCTGTCTCTGCAAGTGGCAGGAGCCAGCCATGAGATGATGGCTGGCTCAGCCTCTGCTGTCAGTAGCAGGCTGTTCGGCCAGCTTCGGCTTTTACCTCGGCTCAGTCGAGCCAAAGCATATGCCTTCGGCTCGACTGAGCCGCTCGGCCAACTTTGGGAGCTGTGCGGGTAGCTATGGCTGGATCCTTCGGCAGCTTTGTGAATAACCCTCTTACTAAAATTGTTCACAAATGTGGACCTGGAAGTATTTATAAGTAAAGACCTCTCAAGTGTATCTTGGTATTTTTGTGTTTTAAGGAGAAAGACAACCCCAGTTTCAGCATGATGAACATGTTACAGACAATATTCAACCTCTTTGTTGCTGGGTCAGATACTGTCAGTAGCACTCTGCGACATGGATTCCTCGTGCTTTTGAAGTATCCTGACATTCAAGGTAAATGGGCTTCTTTTGTTTTGGGATTCTTGGAGCCCATTGTAGTAATGAAGTAGTAGTATTGAAAGCATAAAAAGACCCTGGTACCCAACCTGCAGCCCTTTGGTACTTGTTGTACAGTCCTTGGACCCCTGCAGTCAGTAGTGGAAGCATTTATTTGTAAAGCGTGTCTAATAGCAGTGAATTCTAACAATCTCATGTAGCATGTTCCCAGTCTCTGACTGTCTCCAGCAGCATATCTACAGTTTCCTGTAACACCTGTAGCATATCTGCAGTCTCCAGCCATCTCCTGTAGTATGTCTGCAGTCTTTGAAAGTCTTTTGTAATTCCATATATACTGAACATTGTGTACAGCCCTTTGGTGATGTTGGGGGCTACAGTTTCGGACACCTATACCTCTTTTGTTGAAAATCAACAGTTTATATCAGTGATCAGCAAACTTTGGCCTGCAGACTAGACGTGACCTTGCATTTAACCTGCCCTAGGAATAGTAGGACACTATTGCTACTTCTGACACAAACAAGGGGGCACAATTCATTCCTGTGAAAAAGACAATGGACAACAATTCCTCCCTCTGATACTAATGATGGGGCACCATTTTTCCTGCTAAAATCAACCATAGGACAGTATTTCTCCCTCTGACACCAACAGTTGGGCACTATTCCTCCCTCTGACACAAATGATGGGGCATAATTCCTCCCACTGATTCCAATAACGCTGCACTATTCCTATTGCTGACACTAACATGGCTAAGTCATCTTTTACTCCCACTGACACCAGGGCATTTCTACTCCATTGGCCATAGTCTGACCCCACTAAAGCCTAAAGGACAATTGATGAAAGAAAACAATTATCATTCCAGTTATTAAGATTAGTTGGGATGCTAAAACAGGAATATCTGTCAAAATGGTTCTACACAAAGTTTTTAAGATAGCATTTTGTATTATTATATTATTATTGTGCATCAAGTGGTATCAAATGTTTAGTTACATCAAAGTAAAAAAGTAATCTTTCATAAATAAATAAAAAATAAATTAATAAAGTGAAATAACAAAATTACCT